GAGCACTGGACGCCGCCGTAGAACAACAGACCGTGAAGATCGCCGCCTAAGATTATTGGCCTTAAGGGACCGTTTCTCCACTACCAGGTTCATTGCAAATGAATGGTTTGCAGAACACGGAAGACCTATTGGCATGCGAAGTGTTTACCGACGAATGAAAAGCTTTGGCTTGTTTTCATACCGGCCACACTGGGTCCTCCCTTTAACTCGAGAACACCGACGTAATCGCCTTGAGTGATGCAGACACTGGTCACTCTGGGATCAGGAATGGAACAGTATTGTCTTTAGTGACGAGTCTCGATTTTGTTTAGGCATGCAGGATGGTCGTGCCAGGGTTAGAAGGCGACGTGGTGAAAGAAGGAATCCACAGTTTTTTGTTGAAAGACATGTTCATCACACTGTTGGAGTTATGGTTTGGGGTGCTATAGCTTATGGTTCCAGGTCACCTTTAATCTTCATCAGAGGTAACATGAACGCGCAGTGTTATATCCACGAAGTTCTAGAACCCCATCTTTTACCCTATCTTGACACCCTGGCAGATCCAACTTTCCAACACGATAATGCCCGACCACATGTTGCAAGAGTCACAATAGACTTCTTTCAACATAATGATGTCACATTGTTACCATGGCCACCAAGATCTCCCGACTTATCCCCAATTGAGCACGTGTGGGATATGATGGGTAGGAGATTGCTCAATTTGCAACGTCCTCCTCAGACTCTAGAAGCACTTCGAGAGGAGTTGGTGGTTGCCTGGAATGAGATACCACAGGAGGACATTGACCACCTGATCAGAGGCATGCCTAGGCGCGTTGGAGAATGCGTAGCACATCAGGGTGCATCCACACATTATTAAAGGTCAAAGGGCTTTAAAGCAGTGCAATCATCTTGAAATTTTTATCATTTACTTATTATGCTTCATTAAGTACTTATACAAAATTTTATTAAAATAAAACCATTTAAACTGGGTGTTCGGATTTATATGTCACTTAGTATATTTGATATGTAAAAAGACATCAGTAAAAAAATTAAAAATGGAAAAGCTGCATATCATAATCAACTCATCTCATTCAAGAAATAAAATTAAAACTACGTGGTCAATAATCAATTAATTTCGTTGCAAAGAAATTAGTAGAGACAAAAATATTACTATAGCTATTCATGGCAGTATTGTATACTAAGTGACATATAAATCCGAACACCCAGTTTAAATGGTTTTATTTTAATAAAAGTTGGTGAATGTATTTATCTTACTGTAAATAACAAGTGAAAAAATTTTCAGCCTTATCCGTTGGACATTCCCGTTTTTATACTGCTCTAAAAATGAATATTTCAGCCGCAGTAAAGGATCAACGTTGCGGGTTTTGGTTCTTGACATCCTTTACGATCGGTTACGATGCCTAGAGTACGGAGACCTGTACGATTTCGTCAACTTACTGAGTTGATAGGGGCCGTATAGTGGGACTTCGGGAAGCTGGACTTTCTTTTCGGGCAATTGCAGTTAGAGTGCAAAGAAGTGTAGACACTGTGTTTAGGTGTTGTCAGGCATGGCTTCGAGAAGGCCGTACGCAAAGAGCAAGGGGCACTGGACGCCGCCGTAGAACAACAGACCGTGAAGATCGCCGCCTAAGATTATTGGCCTTAAGGGACCGTTTCTCCACTACCAGGTCCATTGCAAATGAATGGTTTGCAGAACACGGAAGACCTATTGGCATGCGAAGTGTTTACCGATGAATGAGAAGTTTTGGCTTGTTTTCATACCGGCCACACTGGGTCCTCCCTTTAACTCGAGAACACCGACGTAATTGCCTTGAGTGGTGCAGACAACGGTCACTCTGGGATCAAGAATGGAACAGTATTGTCTTTAGTGACGAGTCCCGATTTTGTTTAGGCATGCACGATGGTCGTGCCAGGGTTAGAAGGCGACGTGGTGAAAGGAGGAATCCACAGTTTTTTGTTGAAAGACATGTTCATCATACTGTTGGAGTTATGGTTTGGGGTGCTATAGCTTATGGTTCCAGGTCACCTTTAATCTTCATCAGAGGTAACATGAACGCGCAGCCTTATATCCACGAAGTTCTAGGACCCCATCTTTTACCCTATCTTGACACCCTGGCAGATCCAACATTCCAACAAGATAATGCCCGACCACATGTTGCAAGAGTCACAATAGACTTCTTTCAACATAATGATGTCACATTGTTACCATGGCCACCAAGATCTCCCGACTTATCCCCAATTGAGCACGTGTGGGATATGATGGGTAGGAGATTGCTCAATTTGCAACGTCCTCCTCAGACTCTAGAAGCACTTGGAGAGGAGTTGGTGGTTGCCTGGAATGAGATACCGCAGGAGGACATTGACCACCTGATCAGAAGCATGCCATGTTCCAAACACTTTTCACTATGAACTCGTTACAATAGAGGAAATTGAGCAAATTGCTATCATCACCAATTTTCCAGAAAACGATTAAGTACGGATGGAACTTATAGTCGATGTCAGTTAAATTTATGATCTGGTCTTTTTATGACAATTATCGTCCCATAACGTGTACTATTAAATGAGGTAATAAATACAAATGACAACTCATTTATTCTCCAACGTCCACTGTATTATTTAAAAAAGGCGTCAAGTAGGTTGACTGCACTAGCGCCGTTATCGGTTCATACATAAACTAGACCGTTTCTTTTTTCTTATGATATTGCATATTGACATCAGCTGAGGCATACCAGAGCTCCTCGAATATTGATACACCCTGTTTCTCTTATTGACAGTAATAGATTGTTCAGCTTCAAGCCATTCAATACAATTCCCGTTCCCGCAAAAAAAAAATCGGCCTGTTCGTCAAGATACTAAGATAGCTTGTATGGCATGGCAACTGGACTATGACTAATTAGAGCGAAACCAGATAAAAGGAACAAATTACAACGCCTCTGCTAAGTTTATCTTCATACGTATCGGAATTGCACAAAGACAATCGATAAATCACTGGCTGTTAGATAGAAAATTGTTACTGATCTGATTGAATTTACCGATAGGATTTCCACTATATAAAAAAGTATTTTTGTAAATTATCTGTTATTGCGACAAGTAGAACGTATAAGAATCTTATGCGCGCCAGAAATATTACGTAAAAAAATCAATATTATGTCAAAAAAAGAATGTCAACTGTCACTAAATAGCCGCGCCTACTCCTAATCTGCAAAGTACCTCGTGTTGGTACGAGGGATGTCTTTTAAGTTTTGCATATGGAAATAAAACAATACGGCAGGTAGTTTTAAATGACTTTGTTGTTTTTCGGAGTATTCTCCACGACTATTAATACACATCTGCATGAGCTCGAACCAATTCTCGAAGTACTTATTCCACTCGTTTGCTGGCAGATCCAAAACTGCATTTCTGAATGCGTCAACTGCTTCTTCTGGTGACTGGAACCTTTGACCACGCAGTCTGTTTTTAATTATTGGGAAAGTAAAGAAATCGTTAGGACTTAGAGCGAGACTATATAGAGGATGGTCCAATAATTCCACGTTTTCTTCCGTTAATACTGCGTTGTTTTGTGGGCTGTGTGCGAGCTTGCATTGTCTTGGTGGATGATGATTCTTCTTTCGAGGTTGATTTTTCGAATCTCGGTGATGAATTTTGGCAAATAAATGGTGGTTTACCAATCCGCAGTAACAGTTCTTTGCTCATTAAGAGGAATTGTTGGAATATGACCCGCTTTTGACACAAATGTCGCGACCATCTTTTTCGAAACACTTCGAGAACGGATGACTTTTGTTGGCTTCTCTTCACCTTGGAACACCCAAACAGCCGACTGTCGTTTATTTTCTGGTTCATAACAGTAAATTCACGATTCATCACCACTAACAATGCTGTACACATTTTTTGAGTTTGCGAAATTGAAACGGTCAAGCGTTTTTTGACACCAATTAACCCTGGCTGCTTTCTGCATTTCAGTCAACAGGTGGGGTATCCAATGAGAAACTAATATTCCTACTCCTAATTTTTCATGTAAAATTTTTTGAATTGAGGCGTTTGAGACCTTCAAGGACGCCTCAATCTCGCGATATGTCACATGTCTATCTTCAATGATGAGTTTGCGCTCAGCATCGACGTTTTCCTGGATGACTGCCGTTTTTGGTGCACCCACTCTGGGATCGACGCTAAGACTCACCCGTCCACGTTTGAATTCTCCATACCAACGGGAAATTGCCGACTGATGTGGCGTTTCGTTACCGAAAACAGACAGTAACTCAGCAAGGCATTTTTGTTGCGATAATTGTCTCTGAAAGTTGTAATAAATTATGGCGCGTCAATGTTCTCGGTTGAGTTCCTTTTATCTAATGACTTGGTGACACTTAAAAATTCACAGTAGTGAGAACACTGCACGTATTGTTGTGAAACTTTGAATTTAAGTTTACGTCAGGTTAAGATTCAGTACTGACGTTCGATCCGCGCGGCCTACTATGTTTCTGTATGCAAAACTTAAAAGACATCCCTCGTAGAAAACGTCTGCACATGTCCATCTAGTGATCGTTGGTTGTCAGAGCGGTCAGTGGGACTTCAGCTCTTGTAGGTATGCCAGGTCCGGTAATCTAGAAACCGGACAATTTTAACCCTTAAATTGGCAAAGCCATGTTTTGCAATTTTTCTGATAACAGTGGATGTTGATATATTTACTGGCATCCCAATAAGTGATTATAAGAGAAAAATTGTGATTTTTATGGAATTTTGAACAGATATAGGATGTATCCGATAAGATACATCACCAATTTGAGTGAAGTTGTTTGCTACAATGTAATGTATGCTAAGAGATACACTGCCAATTGTTAAGTTATATAAAAGGATACAAGAAAATTATGTAAAATAATTTATTGATTGTTTATAATGGACAACATTTGCATGAAATAAGAAACCGACAACCTCTAAGCACAAATAAACGAAAACATCTTTCATAATTTAACAACAAATCCAAAGTTGACGTTCACTGGAACCTGTCAACTACTCTGATGGAATGTATAATAGCAGTTCCGATCTTTCACTAAACATAGTCTTGTGCCACACTTGGTATACGCCCAATGAGTTTCTCCCTTTTTGCATAATCGACATCTACCTTTGCTTATATACTGCGGGAAGTGATCGACTCTGTCATGTCTTACATCTATTGGTGGTCTAACTACAACTGCTTGTTTGATCCTTTGTTTTATATCTACATTCTCGTTCACTCTCGAGTCAGTTGATCTTCCTTTCATTCTCAATGATTTCGAGACATAGTATCTGAATTCTTTCAGACTGATGTTTTCCACGTTGCCCCCTGATTCTGCACACGTCAGCTTAGTTTCTCGACGGTAAAGAAGCCAAGCATTATTCATGCATAAATCTATCATTTGAGCAAAAATAGATAAATACCACCGACGAGTCTTCAGCCGAGTTCTGTAAAGTGAAACTAACATATCCATAAGGTCAACTCCACCCATGTGGCGGTTATACTGTTTTACAATACTCGGACATGGTATATCAGTTTTATCTTTTTTGTGTTTCGTATACCGTGTAGCAGTAGCTACTGGCTCTACTGAAACATAAGAGCTCACAAGAATGACTGCCTTATTGTCAAACCATTTAACGCAACTGATTTTGTTGACGTTATCATTTTTGAAGCAAAATGACCCTCGACCTCTTTTCGCCAAGGCTTTGTCGTTTTCTAATGAACAGATCCCCAGCCGATTGGATCTTATTGTGCCGAGAGATAAAATTCCGTAGTTTTGTCTCAGTATGTGCACCAATTCCAAAGACGTAAAGAAGTTGTCAAAATACACAGCCGAGTACCTAGATAGGGACTTTCATAGATTTGCATAGACTAAGAATAACTTTCGCTCCTAATCCTAAAGTATTCTCTTCGCTGGTAAACTGGTGATATTCTCTGAATGTCTTTTCTCCTCCATAGATGAGAAAATCATAGACCAATCCAGATACACCTGCTCTCACAAAGATTTTGAAGCCCCACTTTTTGGGCTTAGATTTTATATATTGCCGCTTTGACCCGGCCTTCTTCCCTTTATATGGTACCATCATTTCATCAATACTCTGTTTTTTCTCTTCTTCTACACTCATACAATTTCTTCTCACTATTTCTAAAGCTGGCCTAATTTTGAAGTAAGGATCGTCGTTCTGATTTGCGTTGTTAACAAAGTGAATGTGTCTTCTTATCTGTTGATAACGTTTTAGCGACATGATTTCCGCGATATCATTATATCTAAATTTTGACTCCAATAATCAGTATAAGCTGGCATTTCGACTATTCCCATCAGGATTTGAATAGCCAAAAAATCTTTCATTTCCTCGAGTGTGACACATATTGATTTGCCGGTTTGTTGAACTGAGTATAAATTAGTGTTGTCAACGAGCATTTGTAATAAATCATCTGAGAAGAACATCTGAAAGTATTCGTATGGCGTTTTCACTCTATCAGGCGTGGTAAAATTGTCTTCTGGAATATCTACTGAAAAAGCAAACTGTTCATTTGTCCAGCTACATTCAAGTTTTTTCTTTTTCACCTTACTCCTTTTCCTACTGACTTCGTCTTTTATCAGCTTGTCTCTAACAGCATGACTCACATTTTTTCTTTTTTGCCCGTTTTAGAATGTGATCTGGTTTTTAGTGGTGTAATCGCAAATGAAGTTCTTGGAGTCGAAAATGCACAGAGACTTACTTTTTCTGGTGTATTCTGAACAACTGGGGTTGCTTCATCTGGAGAAGCGTCATTGGTGTTTGACAAATCCTTCATTATATCCTCCATTACTGCAACTGCTTCATCAGGAATCGATGGAGCCTCGGAAGACTCACTATTTGAGTCCCTTATCATATCAAACAGCTTTCCAGGAAATTCTTCATCTTCACTTGTGTCACTCAGATCAGAAGATGCAGGTGGTAGAAGGGCAATTATCTTGTCCTTCCGTGTTAGTGCCATAATAGAATAGTTTCTTCTGGAAAATAAACATAATCACTAGTATCTGAGCCAGAAATAAAGACATATTTTATTAATTTGAACATATGTTTAGGTTAAGTGTGTGTATAATATGATGCACACCTAGGATACTTCAATTTACGATAAGTTGGCAACGTATACTATGCGACACACAACAAACTATAAATTGCTTAAAGAGAACTTGGCACTGTAGATCATTAGATACACAACAAATAACTATCCCTTTTTTGAGGAGCTGGCAACGTAGACTACGAGATACAGTAAAATTAGATCAGCAACTCTGACCAAGTGGCTCATCATTATCATCTAAATCTAATTCTATACGATGCACCTAACATCCATGTCCTCAAAGTTACAAATTCTTTGTGAATATTTGTTTTACTTTACTAGAAAATTATGAGTACTTACCGATAATTCACGCCACTCAATGCTGTCCGCTGACAAGTTTCGGCCATTACATTATAAATCCACAAAATAAATGCCAGATGGCGCCAGAAGTACCAACTCAAGTGACTGAATGCCTAATGAAGGTATTTTCGGCAAAAAAGATTTGATATGTTGACTCGCATCGTTAACAGGGATATTTGAATATGTAGTATCGTATAAGATACAATACCAAATTAAGGGTTAAGGAAAAAATGAAAAGGAAAGGAGAGAAGGAAGGAAGAGGGCAAAGAGGAAGAAGAGAATTTTTTAGGACAGGGAGCGTTTAGGCAATGTTACAATCACTTGACACATTTTGATATGGTCTAAAAATATTTGATTTTTGTAAGGATTTTGTCAAAATGTTCCAGTTTTCGTTGTGGGGCACGCTGCCATTTTGGATTGCAATCCAAAAGCGACATAGACCGTTACCCCCGACATAACAAGGCCAAACAACTCAGCTGCGAAAAGGCTGCGACGTCACGCTATGTAGGCCAGTTCATATTCTTATGGCGTTTCGCCATGCTGGCTGGCAAGAGCCGTAGGATAGATTGAAATTCCCACAAAACCATTCTGGTTTTTTAATATCCATACATCATAAAGTTGAATATTTTTCGTTGTTCAGGAACTTAACAAACATCCACACTATATTCACAGCGATTAAGAAATACCCAAATATATGTCGTAGAGCTATCAGCAAACCTAAAACCTGCAGAAAAACTAGAAATTTGCAATATTTTTCTTCTGAGTAGATATTCTGGGTTATATTTATATCAGACGTTATTTGAATACAGCTGATTATTGCATTTCAAGGAGTGACACATGTGTGGGCTCTGTCAACTATTGGTACCAGTCACAAAACATACTCTGAAGGTTTAATTCCATGCTATTCAATCACAACACGGTTGTGAGGGTGCGACAGGGTTGCCAGATTGTGCATTAATATCCCGTTTCACCCTCCTGGTCCCAGTGAAGTAAGTTCCGCCAACTGTTGAAATATACTCTAATATGCTTTATAAGACCATTTGTGACATTTTTCCCAAAATCATTGCACAACACTTGAAAAAATGCAAATGAAAACCTAAAATTATTTCCATGACGCCGCAAAATAGCTCCGTCGGTACCTTGGGTTATACACCTTGACAGTAGGGATGTTCGATACGATCCTATATTTAGAAGTATCAATACATTTCACGAGTATCGTCATCTTTCGATCCGGACTGTGTCATAAACAGTGACTGCCATTTGGCTGCGACATTACCCTGCCATAAATAGGAGATCTTCGGTCCTCGATACGTGTGCGAAGTTTCAAATTAATCAAACATCTGGAAATTGGTGAAAATTATGTTCAAAGATCCCGTTACATACATACAGGCCGAGCTAATAAAAGCGTGTTAATGAAAATTAATAAAAAGAAGGTCTAGAAGCGATGATGCTGGAAAAAATATTAATTTGGTATGATCGATACTACATCAAAAAGGCGGAGTGAAGGATCGTCGCCACCACGAACCTACACTAATAAATACTGCCTAAAGGTATGAATAAGCTAATTGAAGACCGATTTTGATCTGAATGACAAACAGTCGTAGTACCGGTACCAATCGACCCGGTAAGACAGGTACGACGAATAGAGATATGCGGCATGCGGCGGCGAGTCCGAAACTTCCGTCGGCGTTGCTGCAGCGTTGGCGAACTGCCTTAAATTACGATGATTATCGCGTAAGTATAGAGTAGGAATAACTCGGTCGACTACCGTCATCCGAACAGGCGATGCATCGGACGATGCCCGTTGGCTGGTGTCTCTTATAATACAAGAAATAAAGGCTTGAAACCGTCAATACGTGTTTTATATTCATGCGAACTTGATTATTGCATACATTAACCAACTTCGGAGGACTGCATTTATTTAACTTGAGTGCCCCGTTCCTACAACTGTAACGCCTTTTTCATAGTTTTTCCTGTCCAGAAAGGCAGCGGTATTTCCAGATTTCTAGTGTTCCGGGTCAGTGCTCTATTTTGTCACAAATATGTATTTATGTTTCATATGCCTGAAATTTCCTACACTTCAAAGAGAAAACATAACCTGACAATAGGAGAGCGCTGACGCTGACTCAAAACAGAAGAAATCTAGAAACACCCTAACCTTTTTGAAGAAGAGACTATGAAAATCAAGGAGGCCATAAAGGCGTCCTACTTTTCTAGGAACGACTGACGATACGGCCCTTAGACACTGAGGCTGGATAGGATCTGTTAGGTTTCCCTCTAAGTGAACGTAATCAACCGTATACAACGTTGTTTCATGCCGTTTAGTTTTTACGGTTTAGGTCTAGTAATTGAAGAAAGACAACGGAAAGCAAACAATCAAAAATAGGTACTACCGAAAAACTCAGTGTTGTAACGTGTAAAGAGGTAGCATTGCCACCTACAAATGGGGTGTTGCCGACCTCTGTCTGGTAACAGGTAACTATACGTAGTTCCACATTATCTCTGATTGACCTTCAAATGAATCGAACGAGTGCCGCGAACCACATAGCCTAAACAGCACCGTACGTACATTTTAGGAGCACATTACGACACTTTGTGCGGAGACCTAAACCGGACGTCTAATGTCCAACAATTTGGGCACGTGTTAAATAATGGCAAGTAGACCGCTTCTACATTCAGCCAGAATCATCAGCCATCTAGCGGCACGGCTGTTAAACGGCAACTGAGATCCATGACAGTTCCGATTAACAGCAACTATGGTGCTATAGATGGCGCTTCGTGCTGATTTGAGAACGTCTTATACATGTACTTTTAAGGCATCTTATATGTACGTACTTTCAAGTTTCACTAATATACCAAATGCACTATTTCCTTGCATGCATGGGGCCTCAATATTGTGGAGATACAGCTTAGGTTAAATTAGGAAAAAGCTGCATTCCTTGGGGCGTATTAACATGCCGTTGAGAAACTTTCATGGCTCACTGACGTATTTGG